GCTACATTCCAGGAGATATTCCATAATGGAAACGCAATTGCTCCACTCACATGGGATACCTACATATCAGGCATATGTTGTGAAGCACCATAAACCCACACTCTGCACTTATAGATCAAGCCTGTATTTTTATACAGATGGAGGAAGAGGGACAACAAAAAAAAAGTCCACAGGTGTTGATTTTATACATTTATTTTAAGACGGGAAAATACACTGTTTAATCTTAGCCTTGACGCATCCATTGCTTGATTTGTAATTTTTGCCATTTTAATTTTACAGAGCTAAAACTTCAAGTAGGCTCGATGGCAGTTAAATCAGGGGTTGGTAGCTAGTTTGCGGTAGCAGAACATTTGGCCTTGTATCTAGTCACAGGTTAAATGGTTAAAAACACTGAACTGTTCATTCCTGTGACTCAAAGAGTTTTTTGCCGGTCATATTCCTCCTTTGAAACTGCTCATTCCAAATACTTTTCTAACTGTTCTACATAATTTACATGGAAGAGTTATGGAGTTAATTATTTGTGAAGCAATAGAAAAAACTGATGTAGATACTATAGAGTATTTAATGTAAAATAATAATGTATTTATCATTTATTTTAGATCAATGCACACTTGATCATGTGTGCCATATTTTAGTCTGGACATCTTCAATAACTTGTTGAGTTACCTGTTCGGAAAGATGAAAGACAAGTAATGCTAAACTATGTGTACCTCGGACTATCCTGGAATTATTTATACTAACTGAAGACAGATTTTGGAACTTCTATTATCTGTCACAGAGTATAACTCATGCCATATTGCAGCTGCATGAATAACATCACAGGAGAGCTTATGAACATGTAGAATGGAAGAACTGGGAAAATGGTAAAAATCAGCAAATTGAGAAATTGTGATTTTTTACAATCTCTAATGTTGCCTGCTCACAAATTTACAACAGTTTTTCCTTACAAAAACATATGCATATAGGTGTCGATACAGAATGCCATTTATGTAATATGTGGTAGTAAATGGGGTGATTTAAACAACAGAGTGAAGAATTACATACTTAATTGTAAATATATTGTTACTAGAAGAGCGGATCTTAGAGAAATTCATTAAGTCTTGATGTTTCTAAAAAAGAAGCTTTAAGCTTTGAGTGCAAGGAAATTTAACAGAACAGATTTTAATCAAAGTCAATCTGGAAACAAATGAAGTGCTGAAATCACAGAAAAGGTGATTTGAACAAGCTTAACTCTTAAGAGTCCTGAAAATTTGCATCTCACCTATCAAAGTGTAGCTAGTGATATCAACTAATTAATTCGTGGACATTTTAAACTCAAAAACCTTAGCGGCTTGGTGAGAAAACTGGCTTTTCTTTGTGAGAAAACCGGCCTTTTGGCCAAGTCCTATGCTCATGGCTCAACTCCCGGGTTGCAAATTGGCACCTGACACTGCATGAAAGATATTAAGTCTCAGGATATGCCAATGACTTGCCTATTTGACGCTATTAATAACACGCAGGTTTTGTCCTCTTTCTGCATTTCTTACTCAAATTGTAAGCACCACCACAGGGAGACCTATGATTGAACGAGCTAACCGATGAGTGCACCCTGGCAAGGAGAAGTGATAATAGCAACCTGATGTGGACAGAACATTGTGCAACTGTGTACTCATTAAATAAAGCATTAGTTGCACCGGCAAGGAACCCGTTACAACAAGTAATTGAATGGGGCGTCTCTGCATTCAAAGGAGGCAGGGCTAGTCCTTCATTTGAAGGATAATCTATTTGTTCTATTAGTTAAAATTTCATCCTAGCCCATAAAAAAAATAAAAAAGAAAAAGTCAGCTCAGCACCTGGAGAACCTTAGTTACCTCAGCTTTTCCTTTTAAACATCCTTGAGGCTTTTCCACCCATAGAGTAATCTGGTCCAGATCTTAACTGACTGGAACAAGCTAGAAAGAAACACTTTCAGGGTATGTTATTGTTATTGCTAATACCTGGTTTCTACTAGTTCACTTGCTATGATCCATAGGTTACTTGGGCTTTTTTGCCTGTATGGATACATATATGATATATACTGGGCCTCATGTGCTTGAATTCATCTTTTGCCCCTTGGAGTCCACCTTAGAGATGGATGAGAAGCAGAAATCTCCCTCATACAGTCAGGAAGGACTTTTTTGTGGCTATCTCTGCAGCTCCTTCAAACCCACTTCCAGGTTTCTGTCTTCCCTCGAAGAAGTGCTGAGGACAGGTTTGTTTACTGCCTGTGTGGACATTATAAAACCTATGTGTGTATTTGCTAGGCTGCGCTTTCTCAAAGCAAAGCAAACTGGGCACTGGGAGCCCACGCTGCTGGGCTGAAGCTTTTCCAGGGCCCCAACTAATGGCTTGTGCCTTTAGCTACACCCAGCTGCTTTGAAGCACCTGCATGCCTCTTCAGTGGGGACAGTTAAACAACATCTCATCACTTAAGAAACTGCTAGTGATCACATTTAAGTTGTAACTTGCAGCAGAAGTAGTCCGCAGTGCACAAATTATGCTGTTGTGCCAGGCACCATACCATACCATAGCCCCAAAAATGAGTAATGAGCACAATGTAATAAGCCTACTCAGAAGGCTGGCTGGAAACCCAAAGCCTTAGAAAATAGATTCATTTGAGCCTTGCAAGTTCTGTAATTGGCTATAGAGCCATTAGCATGCAGTCCTGTTATTTTGCCGCATATCATCTATAGGGTGATAATTAGTAGTCTGAATGTGCAAAGCTGCTAAGTGCAAAACAATCTGACATCTCTGCTGATTCATAAAATTGGTCAATAGTGCTCATTGATATGGGAATGAATATGTGACTCTTCTCTGCATTATTCCACTTAGGTTCCTGTTCAGGTCCTAAAGGAAAATAAAGAGCGACATTGGCTTATGACTCAGTCACAAATTATGTGTATCTATCTTCCTTAAATCCAATTTCTTCAAAAGGTGCAGAGAAACTGTGCACTGAGTCTTGTGTGTCTTCTAAGTTTGGAATTTAAAATCAGCATGTCAAAAGTGAATCATTCTTGACTGTCACAAATCTTTCATCTTGTCCTACATTTTCTGAACACATTGTATTCAGGTAATGCCTAGAAAGATGTCAGGAAAACCTTTCCTAAAATGCTCAAATCTGTGCCGACAGCAAGCATAATGCATTGTGTCTTGTAACTGCAGTTTTAGGAAAGGCTGCATTAAAATGCATGACAGAAAAATCCATGGCATAATGCATATGCTGAAGAGTTTTCTAAAATCAGACTAACAGAGGTTTTTTAGAAGGAGGCAGCATTATCTTCAGCTTACATTTGCAGCATCACTGCACCAATGTTGCACTTCTGTCTCAGTTCCTACACTTTTTTCCTTTTTACAACAAAATTATTTATCATCAGAATTCAGCCCTTTACTGACATCACAGAAAATCTGTCAGCCTTATTAAAATGCATGTTCCTAAAGTTTAGCTTTCTCTGTTAGACAATCCTCTGTGCTTTTTGTCAGTTAGTAGCTGAAATATTCTCTGAAAGTATTGTAAATAACATCTTTTGCACCTACCCATCCTTTCAGCCACAAATTGAATCAGGCAATAACTGTGCAGCTTCAGTATCTGCGTTGCTTAAATACTTTCTCTGTGTTGCTTGAACAGTGAGTTTTAGAACAGTTCTCACAATACACCAATATGACACTGCTCTCTTAATCCACTTATACCTACTAACCATTTTTACTGATGCGCCCTTACGAATCATTACTGATCCCAGTCTAGTGAGACATCATTTACAATTACTTAGAAATTCTGCTTGTGCATGCTATATACTGCATTCTGCTCTGTTCCTTTTTTCACCCTGTTTACCATTAATGCAATGTGCTCAGTTAAGACTCCAAGTTGTTCAATGCATGCTTAAGACTGTATTTAGCCATTACCCCTCATATGGATTTCACAAATCATGAGGGATTAGGCTTGGTCAGTAGTTGGAGATGAAGCCTAGCAGGCAGTGCCACGGCAATGGCAGGTCTCTTTCAGCCAGGTTTGAACACTTCCTTTTCCGGAGCAGACATTGCAGGTCATTTTAATGGCATCAATATCCGGATCTGAACTGTGCAGTCCAGCAATCCTTCCTTCCAGAAAATCCAGTGTGTAGGAAAGGAGGGAGCAATAGTTGACAGAATCTCGGAGAGACAGTCAAGGAAGCTGGTCAAGAAGTGCCATGCAGGCTGTAGCACAGAGTGTGCTCTGCAGACTAGAAACTTCCAAGTCCAGGCCCAAATCCTCATGATCTTCCTGATGCTACAAAAGAGGTGACATTAAAATCATTTGTTTGCTAACTGCATTCATAAAACTAGATGTGATTTTAAGAAGAGAAAATATTTCCGCTTGAGAAAAAATAGTACTTATTTCAGTGTGCCTTCCTGAACATTTTTCCTCTCATTTCAGAGTCATGTTATTTATGTCTTTCCTTCCTGAACACTGAACGGTTACGGGCAATGGTGTCAGCCTGCTCTCTTTGAGATATGTGCATTTCGTTGACCTGCAGCAGATCTTCTCCATCCCACCTCAAAACAGTTTTGTTCCCCTTGGGTAAAACTGAAGTCACATGCCTTCTTTTTTCACCTTGCTAACTCAGCTCACTATCTCAGTTGCTGTTTTTCTGTTATGCCAAAGAGCACAGTTTGCTTCACACCTGCCATTTCTGTAGTCTATCAGAATAGTGTGATGAAAACCTTCATTATTCCTCTTTGCAGAAGGTCTAGTTATACTTAATACCAGTGGTTCCTCTCTATATTGCCAGCAGAAGGATGCAGTATTTCTAACAGCTCTCTAGCATATGACACCACGACAAGGAAGACTGTTGTCAAATCCTCCTCATCTCCTTTTTCACCATTAAGAGGAAGTTGTGCAGAAATAACCAAAGAAAAAGGACATCCACAGTTAATGTTGCTTCCCTCTTTGCTCTACAGATAACCATGTACATCTGAATGGCCTCAACTTCGACCACAGCCAACTGATGATGAAAAGGAGGAGACTGTGGGATTATTCCTTTCACTTTTCCTGGATGATGGAGGGAGAGATATTTGCTGCCACGCTGGTGCCACCAGGGAACATGCCACCAGATTCCAGCATGACTCTGGAACAAAAAACCACCTTTGTCTTTGTGATTTTACTGTTTATTTTCTTGGGAATCCTCATTGTTCGCTGCTTCCGAATTCTCCTTGACCCCTACAGGAGTATGCCAACCTCAACTTGGGCTGATGGACTTGATGGACTGGAGAAAGGCCAGTTTGATTATGCTCTTGCTTAGAGACTGAGAATTATGCAGGCTGATTTAGTACATTGATAAAGAGTGAAAAATTGTGTAATGTGTCTCTCCTTTTTTTTTTTTTCCAGATAATGTAGAGTTTCAACATATAAATATACACACCACTTCTCTCTTTTTTTTTTTAAATTAAATAACACAGCAAGTTATATTTTTGAAAGTAAATTAGCGAATCTTCTTGTGGGGAAAAAAGGCCATTAGCAGATCTTTGCTTCAGAATGTATAGGAATAATACATAGCATGTCTGATATTTTATAACTCAGTACTTAATTTACAGACACGAGAACAAGCCTTTTCTAGGGCAGCCTTTTTATCATCAAGCAAAAGTCTGTGGAGAGAAGTGTCTTATAAGTAAGGTAAGAATATGATTTTATGACGTGTATATGATAAATAACTTTTCAAGCCTTCAAGTTCTGAAGACAGGTAAGGAAGGAACTATAAGATAAGGCTTAGAGCAATACAAAACTTCAGGAGAAAAAAAATCCTTCATATATTCAACAAGATGCTCTTTCTCAGCTTTAAACAATGAAGAGACTGCTTATTAGTAACAAAGAACTAGCTGTAATCTTGATTGTGAATAAAATATGTAATGATTTTGGCCTTTGTCTTTTGTACCAAAACTGATTTCTACTAATGGATAGAGTGCCAGGTGGGTAAAGACCAGACTCCTGAACACCCCAAAAGCCAGAAATGTGCCTTAGCACTATCCAGCTTGTTAAAACATTTCATGGCACGGGGAAGAGAAGGAGCACACTGCCCATTTAAAGCTGAGGCTTTGGAGCTGGCTATCTTGCACTTGCTACAGTACTGACAGGCAGCTGGGCAGTTTTCCCCTTGTGCTTTGGCTCGTGGCCCCTCA